TGAGGCTGGAGGCGGGAGAATGGCGGGAACCCCGGGAGGCGGGAGCTGTGCAGTGGGATGCGAGATCGCGCCACTGCACTCCGATCGATCGCGCCAACTGACACTCAGCCTGGGCGACGAGCGAGGACTCGGGAAAGAAAAAAAAGGGTACAGGAAAGTAATCCTCTGTCTCCAACAACAATCCGCAAAAGTCCTTCTAACCCTGAGATTCTGACCAGCAGCTGTGAGGCAACCCCTAAGTTCATCTGAATGGTAACACAAATTGCAGCATTTGTCAATTTGCCTATTTCTATGGTTTTTTCTTGATTCCGGTGCACAATGAACTTTATGGAGTTAATCTTTAGCTTTGTTATGGCTTGTATGGTGGTAAGAGAGAAAAATTTTCCTTGGGAAAAGACTTGTGAAGACATCTCAACCAAGAAAAACAAGAAAAAAAAAATTTTTTTTTGTTCTTGTTTTGAGAACGGAGTTTTGCTCTGTTGTGTGGTCCCCAAGGCTGGATGCACATGGTGCGGATCTTGGCTCACGACCACAACTTCTGACCTTGGTTTCACAATGATTCTCCTGCTCACCGCTCCTGAGTAGCTTGGATTAAGCAGCACCACCGACACCCAGGCTACTTTTGTTATTTTTTTTTTAATCTTTTTTTTTTGAGATAGAGGCCTCGCTCTGCCGCCCAGGGTGGAGGTGCAGTGGCCAGATCTCAGCTCACTGCAAGCTCCATCTCCACCTCCCAGGTTCACGCCATTCTCCTGCCTCAGCCTCCTGAGTAGCTGGGACTACAGGCGCCCGCCACTACACCCGGCTAATTTTTTTGTATTTTTAGTAGAGACGGGGTTTCACTGTGTTAGCCAGGATGGTCTCGATCTCCTGATCTCGTGATCTGCCCACCTCGGCCTCCCAAAGTGCTGGGATTACAGGCGTGAGCCACCACGCCCGGCCTAATTTTGTATTTTTAGTAGAGAAGGGGTTTCTCTTGTTGGCCAGGCTGGTCTCAAACTCCCGACCTCAGGTGATCCACCACCTCGGCCTCCTGAAGTGCTGGGATTACAGGTGTAAGCAACTGTGCATGGCCAAGAAAATATTTTCAATTAAAAAAGAAATAATTTATTAATATGGAAAACTGAAAAATCTATGTTTTAGTAAAAATAAGGAGCTTTGGATAACATTTGAGACTGAATACAATGGTCTGTTTTTGGCCATAATGATGTAGACTTCTTGAGTCATAGATTATCTATAAGCCCTAAAGTTGCTGCAGCTTTTGATCCTCTGCTGTTCCTTGGTCACCCATCCAGAGTAATCCTTTTTTTTTAGACAGAGCCTCACTCTGTTGCCTAGACTGGAGTGCAGTGGTACAATCTTGGCTCACTGCAACCTCTGCCTTCCAAGTTCAAGCAATTCTCCTGCCTCAGCCTCCTGAGTAGCTGGGATTATAGGGGCATGCTACCACACCTGGCTAATTTTTGTATTTTCAGTAGAGACAGGGTTTCACCATGTTGGTCAGGCTGGTCTTGAGCTCCTGACCTCGTGATCTGCCCGACTCGGCCTCCCAAAGTGCTAGGATTACAGTTGGGAGCCACCGCATCCAGCCCAGAGTAATAATTTTATCTATTCATTTGGCAGGCATTTACTGAGGACCTGCTTTGTGCCTGGCTCTAAGGTAGATGCTAGATTTTGATATAAAATCAAAAAGTACAATCCCAGCCTTTATGGAATCTACAGCTTATCATGAGCAGTAGACAAAATTCATGAATGGCTATGGTACAGAATGATGAGTTTTTACAAAGCCATTTACATAGTTCTGTGGGAGTTCACTGGATGAGGATCTACAACAGATGGGAAAGGGGTGAGGGAGGGTCCTTGAAGTCTTCTTGGTAGACGTGTTGCTTAAGCTAAATGTTAAAGCCACTAAGAATGACTAGGTAAGGAGAGGACATTGAAGGCAGAAGAAACCATGTGTGCAAAAGCGCAAAAGCTCAAAAGCACGAAGCCAGGAAAACACAGGGAGCTCTTCTTGGAATAATTTTGAGGGGACTTCATGACTCAACTCAAGCATCCTCCCTCTGGAAAGACTTACCATGGAACAGGGGGATGCCAAAGGGAGTGCCCAGAAAGGGAGCTAGCAACCAGAAAAAGCACTGTCTTATGTGCTAAGCCAAGGAGTTTTAAGGATTTTAAGAAAAGAGCAGATAGGATCAGATGTATGTTTTTAACAGATCTTTCAGAAGCACAGAGAAGGATGAATTGGAAAGGGGCCAGGCTAGAGTGACAAAGATCTGTGAGTGGGCAGTGGAGACAACCAGGTGAAAAATGTCAAAGCGCTGAGCCTGTGCCAGTGCCATGGGTCCCAGGACACACTGAAACGGATTAGATTCTGTCACTAGCTGGAGACACAGCAAGTGGGAGGGAGGGGCCAGGAGGGTGCCGAGGTTTCTAGT